TGTTGCATAGAAATTTCAAGCATTACACGTTATGTAAATTTTGACGAAGATGATAATTGCGTTAATCAATTTATAAATTTAAAATAAACAAAGCAATATGAGAATGAATAAATAACGTGTAATATATAAATATATATATATATATATATATATATATATATATATAATTTCCATGTCACAATGTTTGTTCCCGTACTCCCCCGAAACGACTTTTACCAAATTTTATATTCGTATTTAGTAGGTCTGATAATAAAAATACTATCTATTTTTCATACCCCTAAGGGATAAGGTGTTCACCATTGACTTTTTTTAAATTTTTGAACATGTTTTTTATTTTTATTTTTTAATAATGTTGCATTATTTTTTAAGGCAACTTAAATTTTTACTTTTTTATCGCCAACACATGTTTTGTCATATTACAGCTATGATTAGCATTTTTAGTTTCAGAAGTATTTAACAGGTTGTTAGTCTTATTGTTAGAAAAAAAAGTTTGAAATTTTTTCGTAGAAGTTTGAATTGTAACTAGTTAACTTCTGCTTTTTATCATATTCAAAATAAACTCTTCATATTTAAAATAATCTCTGCTCTGTTTAAAAAAAATCATTGAAGGGTTGACAATATTTATACACTTTTATACATGTATTGTTTTGCTGCTTATGTAGGCTCTTTTGATATGCATATATTAAATATTTGTGATGTGCTTATATTATATGGAATATATATGTATATTTTAAGTACCTCTTTGTTCGAGATTATGTTAATCGAAACCTGTTTTCAAGTGCTCTTACAATTGATAATTAAAATGTTTGCGATTGACGCATTTGCATCAATAAATATAATGTCGTCAAAATATTTTTTTTAAATGAACGACATTTTATGTTGCTTTTATTTTACAACAAATGAAAAAGCACGTGAAGTACAGATATCCAGATGCTGCCAATAAAGCAGTTCAACAATTTTTATCTTTTCAGTTATCAATAATTAAACAATGGTGTTTTGATTCATTAAGATTTTTAATATTTATCGTGTCAATATTTGTCATAAAACTTTAGTAATAACATTAATTGTTTTGCTTCTGATTATTTGCTTGATGATCGTATATTTATTTAACAAATTAATAACATTTTTACTTAGCAATTAAAAAAAAAGTAGTAACAAAGAATTTATTTGTGCAGGATTCACTTAAGTTTTATTATTTATTATTTCATTTAAAATACCGACAATGAAAATTAGTTCTGATAGAAATCAAATAATTTTGACCAAAAAGAGTAAAAATGAAATTTCAATCAAAGTGATAAGATTAATATTAGCAATAAATTAAGTTAACATGTATTAAAGGATGTACTTAAGAGTGATTTTATAAAATATGAAAACACTGAAGCCGTTTTTAATTAATAGTATTTTTGAAAAAGCCAATAACAAAGATTTAATTAACTTCCCGTACGGTAAGTTATATAGTAATCGCAAAAAAATCGAGAATGAACATTTTTATATATCATGATGTTTCAAAGGTTTCTGAATATTTTGGCATATCTTAGAAAATATGGATGCATGTGTGTATGTGTATATCTGCGTATGTGTGTGTGTGTGCGGATACAAATTTTCGTCGACGATTTTGTGAACACCTATCAACCGATTAAAATAATTCGAAAAATATTCAACTTGTATTGAAAAGGAGACGTGCTGATTAGTTTTTGGAAAAGGCAGGTCCAGCCGTTCCAAAGATACGGGGCAAAAAGTGCCAAAAACGGTAACTCAGTTCTTAAGAAAACGGAGCGTTCGATTTTAATAATTCAAAAAACATTTACTTGAGTTGACAAGATGAAGAAATGATTAACTTTTTGGAAAGCAGGTCCAGCGGTTATAGACTCTCAATAAAAATAAGTTTAAAAAATGTCATTTGACGATCAAAACTGTTTATTGGACATATGTACATCAAATTGTCAGATATTTTATAGAGATTTTAATATTGTGTATACATTTACGGAAAGTTCCAGCAATTTGCCTTAAGGCACGATGCCATGCTCCCCACTTTTATATATTATATGAGAAACATATTATTCTGAATTTGCTATAAAATTGAATTTCACAGTTTCCTTTGATCATTTGGTTTTTATTAACTTCCCGTACGGTAAGTTATTGCAATGGGCCGATAATCGAAATTGAAAATTTTTACATTTCTCGACGTT